ACGTTTATAAAAACACGCTATAATTCACAGGGATTCATACACTTTACTTACCGCTTGACTCAATTATCTGTATCTTCAATCTCTCTATCTATGCAATTCTTGTCCTCGCTTTATTTGCTGGGCTTATATACTAAAAAAGAAGGCGCCTGAAACAGACTAGAGTTGCCAGGAAAAGTCATTATCCTTCTAGAAACTCCAGCTCACATGCTCCCAGCGTCGCGTGACTTCCGCTGTCGTAGCAATATAAACGCCATCTGGGAAGATTAAGTTCGCTAAAATAAAATAAAATTATTTAAATTATATACGAGCTGAAGATAAAATATTAACTCTATTTGAAAAATGTGTTGAAAAAACTGGTTAGTCAACAGTATTAACAACTATTTATCACAAGTCTTGTCTTCCACTATGGCAATTCCGTGCGCAACTCCACTACGCTGGACGATGGTAGGTCGAATTAAGGGGAAATCTCCAGGCTCTGTATGGTTACGAATTACAAAAGCGTAGACTCAAATCGACAAACAGCATTCTTTTCTGCCGTTGATATTGTATCAGCTTCGACCGTGGAATCCATCACAATCAGAATCGCTCGTACATCTTTAGGTATATCCAACATCATCGGTGGCAGAATCAGACTTCAATATAATTTTAGGGTACATCGTTCTTGTCATGAATCACTGTTTGACAACTGAATGGTGCCATTTTGAATAGTTGTAAGATCGTGCACGCGGGAACTAAGAGAGACTGGATGATGCCTCTAACAGGGCGAGAGGCTGGCGGAGAATTTAAAAGACACATCCAATGACTGTTGGTAACATGCCTTGTGAGTTATGTAAGAGTGAGAATAGGTTTTCGTTTCGTTATTCGAGTTAGCAAATATCGGTATCATGAACCACGATAATGGTTCATAATAGGGATCACAAGGAATTGCACAAATCCCTAATTGAACATTCGGTCAAAAAGCACTTTAAACAGCTTCAACTTCAGTTCAAACAACACTTTAAAACCTTTACTATTGACTTCTAAGGCTGTATACATATAAAAATGCACAAAAAAACAAGTTTTTAATTCTTCTTATTATTATTATTTTCTTTCCAGCCGAGAACAAAAATTACTTGGTATATTACACCCAAACCTGTTGTAGAATACAAAATAATGTACTGCGAATGTCATAGGAATATTAAAAAGCCGATTTGTTTCTTCTATATTTTACATAACCTAAAAAAACAAAAAACATCATAATTCTAGTGTAAAGGATGTTATCATTACCCCTTGGAGTTAGCTTTCTTACAAGTATATTAAGCTCCTTTAGAAAGCTTATATAAAGAGTGAAACAGGAATTACCAGCCAATAATAAATAAATATTAGATGACTGTAACATGCAAATACTCAATGCTTTGTACTCTATACAATCGGTGTCTTTAGGTACCCAACCTATATATTATGCAAGAAGTGAAGGAGTAAAAAATTCAATACACATAATATTAAATTGTATTATACACATTCATAAAATAATAACTTTAGAAGACACGTAGGTTTATTTAAAGCAATGTTTGAGACGTATATGTTTTACTTGAAAAGGTTAATGGGAGTTGTGTCTTAGTCAAGGCATATATTTGCCCATTGCTATGCGTTATATATATATAGATAATTTAGTTACACAGAAACTATAAATGCTCACTACATTCTTAAACAAATCTCCGTGACAATCTGCAGTTGCAGCTCAACATTTTGCATCTCGATCTAATGCGATCAAATAGTCGATAGCTACAGCTATGTTTATTGTCATTACAATCTATAAAGTTAACTACCATATAAAGTAATCATTTGCCCATAGTTGAGCATAAAAAATCAGCAAACAACATAAATAAAAAAGTAAGGAAACAAGGCTGGATATACTGTATACATTACTTACTCAAACTACAAATCCTTATTTTGACTCCACCAAATGTAATTCTAGGGTTTGCAGGTTTATAAATTCCCATTGTTTTTATTTATTTTGTATAATATTACAACAGCCAGATAAATAAATAGTTAAAAGTGTGTTTTAATCCAATACCTCATGCCAGTTTACTTAACTGCTGATTGGTTCCTAAAATACTGAACGAAAAAATGTATTTCTAGAGATATTATTTTATTAGTTATTCTTTTAATACTGCAATCTAAACCTATTCAAAAGAATAATGATAGTTCGACATACTGTATACATTAACTACACTTTCAAATACATACACAAACAACTGTATGACATATAACTTAAACGAACGACTCCGGAAAATACAATAGTAATAATTAAAGATACAAAAAAGGATGTACTAGTGTTTTTCAACCCCACGTACATATATCGATCAATAATGAAATCTAATAAAGTTCTAATAAAAATACATTGTTTTAGTCGAGGTAATGTTAAATGTTATTTTAACTAAACACTGGAGGAAACTTGCACTTCACTTCTTTAGGTTGGAGTATATAACACAAGTTTTGTACTGTAGGCAACCCAATATATATATATATATGTTTCAATTCAGCGTAAGAATGTTTCACAAAAGTTGAATAGATTTAATTTCGTTCTACAAAATTCATCACGTTTATTACAGTTCGAGCTTCTTACCGGAATTTTGAACTCATATACTAGATGGAAAAAATTTAGTCAACAAAGCCATCATCTAATTTTATTAGACCAAATAAGAGCAATTTGACCATTGCTCGTGCAGCGCACTCACGGCCCCACAATGCGAACACGTTAAGCACTGTATCACGCCAGGTTCCTCAATTTGGGATGAGACACACTATAATATACTTTATTAATCAGGTTAGAGGTAAGATATTTGTTCTAAAATATCTCGTATTATACTAATGGGAGGTTACTGTTGTGAATATAATGATACATAAATTTGAAACTTGATATTTCGTTATATTTTAGATAAAACATTTAGAACAAAATAAATGTTGTTGTTCTTGTTTTAGTTTTACTTATGAAACTTACCTAGAATAATATATTAATACTTTGAATCAAAATAAAACACAAATACTAAAATAATATGCTCTCTTATTTCAATTTTGAATAAGACACGTGAGTATCGTAATATTCGGTTTAAGATAAGACATTCACAGGAGTGTGGTGAATTATGGTAATTTCGGAATATCAAAATATTTTCATATAAACAGAAAATTAGTTGTCAGATTCACGAATGATGTCAGAGAAGAACATGAATTAGGACTGCATGCTAAGAGAATGTAGTATAAATAACATGAATTAGGACTTCATGTCACTAAGATGAAGTATGAAAAACATGAATTAGGATTACATTCATCGAAGGAGTAGTACAAAAAAACATGAATTAGGATTGTGTGCTAAGAAGGAGTATAATAAAGAACACGAATTAGGATTGCATTCTACGAAGGTGTAGTATGAAGAAAATTAATTAGGATTGCATTCCACGAAGGTGAAGTATGAAGAAAATGAATTAGGATTGTGTGCTAAGAAGGTATAGTATAAAAAACACGAATTAGGATTGCATTCCACGAAGGTGTAGTATGAAGAAAATGAATTAGGATTGTGTGCTAAGAAGGTATAGTATAAAGAACACGAATTAGGATTGCATTCCACGAAGGTGTAGTATGAAGAAAATGAATTAGGATTGTGTGGTAAGAAGGTATAGTATAAATAACACGAATTATGATTGCATTCCACGAAGGTGTAGTATGAAGAAAATGAATTAGGATTGTGTGCTAAGAAGGTATAGTATGAAGAACACGAATTAGAATTCCATATGTTTTCTCGGTAATTCATATTGGTCTAGAATATTTAAAGATTTGGTATTAGCAGAAATTACATTGTAGTAATTTGTTAAGCTCATTATTTATCTTTATTTTCATTTATTTATTAATTTATTCTCGAGTAGTATGGAAATATTTTACTAGTTTTATTTTATTTCAGAAGTCATTTCATATAAATCATTTAGTCTCGCCCGGAGTTTGTTCTTCTTGTATTTCTTATGCAATTTCTAATTTTTGGTAATTGCTTTTATTTCCATCTGTGAACTTTTCAGCACAATTAATGACATCCAAATGTGTAAATAGAACTATATGTTTTTCTTAAATATTTAAATTTCTACTTTTTTAAAAATTATGATGATAATGATCACATTGAAAGTAATCAATGAGAAGGAGAGGCATTTTCTTATATCACATTGAGAAGAGTGGTTTGGTCGATATTGCAAGTAGAAATCTGTTGTTTAATATTTTTACTTTTAATTTTAACCTAGATTTATTAAATGTTAAAGAAAATTAATGTATAGAAAATATAATTTTTATATTCTATTTTTTATTTTATATCTCCACGCATATTTATAAAAATTCAAATCACACAGCCATAATATCATAACTCAACATTCTTAGGACAGATTAGACTGAATAATCCCAAACCCTTCAAAGAAGTTTGTACCTGAAGTGGTTATTAATCAATAAGTTGATCTACGAAACTTTCCTCCTTTAGAATTCTTGCTCAAAGCTGCGCAAGGGCTATTTGCGCATAGTAGTCCCTAAATGTTAATTGATATACTGAGGGAAAAGCAGCTAGCCAATAGCACTCACCGCCAACTCTTGGACTATTATTGGCTCACTTAATAGTGTGATTGACTCTTATAGCGCACTTACGGCTCCAATGTATGGAGCGCTTTTTTTTACGGCAACGATACTGACCCAATGAACCCTGGGAATAACATGTCATGTAAATAAGCCCCATAACATTTCAATACTTCCAGACACTTATGCAGTGGAGAATATACAGAACTTCATTGGGTTGTCAACACACCATATCCCTACCGTCATTGTAGAACAGTGTGAAGCGCGACTTATCTGACGACATTAAACATTAACAATGGGCAACTGTCCAATCCTGACGATCTGGCCCCATTGGAAACCTTTCAACTGTTGGCAAATATAACTGATGTTTACACGTTTACCATAGTTACTTTCCCGGAGCTCCCTACGCATTGTTTGGGGGAAATTGGTGTTCCTGGGCCATTATTAGAGTTACTTGTTAATTCACGCACAATTAATTGTCTGCTAGCTGAACAGTCTTCAATATTTACCTGCTATCCACGTTTGATAACCTTCTCTTCCAAACATACTTTCTTATTAAACAAAATGTTTTGATCTGATAACCATACAGTTTAGCCTGGAACACAGTGGTCTTTGATTTGCCAATCAGTTTAACCGTATGCATAATTGAGGTACCCATCAATCCAGCTCCAAAAGTAACACATCATTA